GAGATTAACAAATGTGTTATATCCTGTAAGTGTGAACCATTTACCAATTATTTGGTCAAATAATTTTGGATGCTTGTTTTTAATTTTTTTTCTAGAATTTTTATTTATTTATTAAAATTTTGGTTTATAAAAATTGAATAATTCCCATAACATTTAATAAACATTAAATATTTAATATTTTTTTTACCTGCTTTTCAACTAATCATTATAAAATACATTTGAACACATTATTTTAGAATAAATCATTTTAAACCCCAAACGTGTTAAAACAACACCGTTGGCCAAAGTGCTATACACTAACACACACAAGCATATAAAAGGCTGTGATGGGTCAAAATTCAGCATTAAGGAATTTTCGACACACCATCTTATATTTGTTATACATGTCCTTTGCATCTAACAGGGTTTGTGCAGTGCTCTGAATTTCTTCTTCATTTTAAAAGAAAAATATAATTTTATGAGCAATATGTCAATCTTAACTAAACACTGATTGCACAGTCTACATAAATAACTTTAGCAACATCATAAACTTTGTATTTTGCTGCATCTCTGTCCAACCTGAGAGTTTATGAAGCTGAATGTAAAAACTCAATGAAACCGTCTCTTTGTAATAAAATGGTTATTAATCTCACAAATCCAACAAACTACTGAGACCAAATGAATGTTGTAGAAAAACATGACAAAGATTTAGGTCCAATCTACATCTTTCTGTCAAAGCTATCCAACAAACGATTACTTCAGAAAAATGTATCTTTGCTCAGTGAATTTCAGTGTTTGTTGAGGTCACTGTCCGGCTGGAAATCAAAGTGTTTCTGGAAGGACTCGCAGGTCCGTTGTCTGTAAAGCAGCCTCAGTGTGGTTCTGACAGCCGACACCGGGTTGTTGAGTTTAAAACGGCTCAAGTCACCTCCGGTCTTTCTTATCTAAATCAGTGGTTCCCAACCGTAATCCTTGAGGAACACCGTCTTGCATGTTTCCCTGCTTTGATGCACCTGATTTGAATGAATGTGTGATTAACAGATTTCTGTAGAACTTGAAGTAATTAAATCACTGAATCAGGTGTGTTGGAGCAGAAAATAACTGAAGCATGCAGAATGGCGTTCCTCAGGGACCAGGGTTGGGAACCACTGATCTAGCTATTTCAATATTTTCTCCACAAGATTTTTTTTTGTTCATGCAATCAGCTGCAAATCTCAGCTGAGCTTAAAGGTGTTGATTTGGGACCAGAGGTTTCTTCTCAGAGAGCCTCCTTTCTTGTACTGGTTGAAACCAAGTGGTTTGACTTCAGACTGGAGCTGGTGTTCCAGTAGAACTTCTGGTTGTTGCATCAGTTTCTCTCAGCTGAAGGGGCCAGTTTGGGTCTTATTTCAGAAGCTGACTCAACCAGACAATGATGATGGTAAAATAACTTCAGATTTAAAAAAAAAACTTTTATGGATAATTTATGCTCTGCGTTGATGAAACCATACAATAAATTTAAATTTAGACAAAAGTCTTGATGTTTCCAGTTCCAAGAAGTGACAAAATGTAAAGATGTTTCCACTCAGAGACATTCAGGTTCACACTTCCAGTCTTGGTGTTTAATTTTTTTCGGTTGTTAGAAAACAAATTGTTTTTTTAAATAAGTCTAAATCCAGTGCAGGAGCTCAGTTTCAAACATTTAATGATACAATCTTCATTTAATCATCTGAACTGAGGCTTGTCTTGTCTGCAGCTTTGAAGGAACAGGACGTTTCTGTCGGCTGGATGGACGCGCACACAGTTTGATAATTTCCTGTTTCACCTCCACTTGACCTGCGGCTTCACCTTACCTCTTCTTCAGTGCGACACATTATACACGCTCCTTTATGACCACCCAGTCTGGTTTATTCAAGCTTCCTATAGCTGATTATGAACACGGTGTTCAACAATGAGGCCTTCTGCTAGAAGTTTGTTTTGTTGCTTTAACTTTACGTTATTTTAGTATAAAACGGTCTTTTTAAATGTTTTTGTTCTACATCGATGAGGAGTTTCTCTTTTGGGCATCAATCACTTCATAAACAAGTCTTATACTGGGGTCAGACCAGCTTAGGCTAGACTTAACGAGTCGTTCTGGGTTCAAAATGTCAGATGATGGTGAGTGAAACTGTCAGTTCTGTTAGAAGACAAAAATCAAAAGTATCAAAAGGGTTTTCCTGTTTTCTATGATCAAGATGTTTAAAAACATAAACCGAACGACTGAGGGGGCATCGTTTGCCTAAATGTCTTTTAGAAGGGAAGACAATTACCTGCGGGGGTCTGTCATTTATCTGCTTCTTCCCTTTCGGGTCACTGGTGCCCATATCCAGCCAACACAGTGCAGGAGGCGGGGGACACCCTGGACAGGTCTCCAGTCCATCACAGGGACAAACAACCATTCACTCTAGGAACAATTTAGTTACCAATCAGTCTAACATGCATGTTTTTGATCTGTGGGAGGAAACTGGAGTTCCTGGAGAAACACGCATGCACGGAGAGAACATGCAAACTCCACCCAGAATGGCTTCCCGGCTGGGATTTGAACCAGAAACCTTCTCACTGAGAAGTGTCAGCTGTACCAACTGCACCACCGTGCTGCTCCGGCTGGTTTCTACTGAATAAAATCTAAATTTCCAGGTCCAGTCAAGCCCAGTTCCAAAGTTTGATTATAATTAATTTAGATTAACAATTTGTAAACTATTTTAAAACAAACTGTGAAAAGGCATAATCTAATCCTAATCTAGCTGCTATAAACTCATCAAAAGCTACATGAGCTGCTGTATTTCAGAGGATTTAATTCAAAACAGGAACTTTAAATCGACAATGTAAAAAGCAGCTTGTTGTATTTTGTCACTTCTGTTTTTGTTGCTTTTGACTCTTTTTAAATTTGCTAACTTCAATATGTAAGTTTTGTTTAAGTAGAAAAACATCCAAATTCAGTTTTTTATTTCTCAGATGGTCAGGAATAAATGGAAATTGGTGACAATGATGAAACATGATTTATATTTTAAGAAAAATTAAAGCACTGTGACACAAAATATTTGCTTTTTACAATTTTAAGTACAAGAACGTCAGTTTTAAAAAGCACTATTTAAAATTCAATTTGTGCTAAATTTACCAATTATTAAACAGTAATTTTAAATTACCCAGTGACCACAGGTGGGACAAAAACTCAAACTGGATGCAGCAAAATGAAGATAAAATAATTAACCTTCCGCAGCACATGGCTCCTTAGACCCGAGGTCAGTGATTAAATCAGAGTTGAATAAAGACGCCACTCGGAGGATTGGTTTCCTAGGCGAATATTATGATTCACTTTTATTAAAAGCATCATAGCTACAATTCATCATACATGATGTCTCAAAAACAACAAAAAATACACAAACCCAAAACAAAAGAAAAAACAAAAAGGAAAATAAAACATTTACATGTTATGACTGTAAACTTCAAGGCTAGTTAAGAATTTTGAGGTAATGCTCTTCAGCTTGCTGGCTAAAAGTAACAAAATGTATTTTTTTTTTTCAAGAAAAGTATCTAAGTAATAAAGGTACCTGATTAATTTACTCTTTAACACCAGTGCATGAACAGGAACAGAGTGAGACGAGACTGACTGCAGGACTTAAATGCCATCATTTACGTTTAGTTTCTGCTCACGCGACACACGCGTGTGTGTCGTATGAGCAGAACGTGTGTGTGTGTTGGGAGAGTGATGCTGAACATTCAAAAGCTGCCTCGGTTATTGCTGTCTCAGCGTTGTGGAGGAGATGGACGATCTTTGACGGGGACCGGTCTCCCCCCTCTCCCTGCTGGCCTGAGAGCGAACGCCCGGCCACTCTGAGCGTGTTCGAATGTACTTTTTATTATCTCGCCCGCTTGTAGCACTTCACTTTGTTTATTTTTCTTAAATCAGACACTTGAACTGGCCTTTGGGGAAAACAAATCAAGCACCGCTCGCGCTTTTCAAGTATTTAAAACTTACTCGACGACCAGAGTTTAACTACACGGAGAAACCTGTGAATTTCCAACCACTCTGTTGAAAACGTGTCTCAGTCCTGTTTGGGCCAGGCCTGGTGTCAGTGTGTGTGACTAGAGCAACAGTCTTTAAAAATAATAATTAAAACAAAAAGGTCACTAGGGAGCAGCACTTGGTCTGGAACTACCGGGATGCGAAGAAAATAAAACGGACAAGATTTCTAAACGGGACAACGACCGGGAAATAAAATAAAAAAATATATTCATTTATATCTTATGTGCCCCCCCTTTAAAAGAATTAACCTGAAACATCACATCCCTGTGTGGACCACCGTTCCAAATTCATTCGCGGAGGCCTCTGAGCACGTGCGGCAGGTCTCAGCAGCATGAAGCGGAGCAGTCAGAAGGCCTGACTGCAGGCAGACCCAGCACGCCTGGCACCCCGTGTACCAAACGCCAGCCGCCTCCACGAGAGGGGCACGAGTCAGACCGTGGCAGTAGAAGAAGACTGGTATTCAGTGTGGGACTGGGTTCAACAGTAAGGATTCAGCGTGCACACACACACAGTCGAAGAGAAACAGCGATAGAGACGAGGCCTCCAACGGTCACATGACCTAGAAAGAGGGATTAGTGTGTGTGAGTAGTGGTGGACACCTGGATGTGTGTGTGTGCTGCTCACAATCAAACACACGCTTGGTGTGTCAGAAAGACTGAGCGTTACGTCAGTCCGCTTCGTTTTCCTCATCAGAGTTCATCTGGTCTGATATGCGAGAACTACATTAAAAACAAAGGCGCTCTGAAAAAGAGCAACTCCATTACCCACAATTCCTTTCCGCAGCAGCTTCCAGACAGACAGCAGGGTAAGCTGCAAGGCTGGTTTTCTTTTGAGAACTCGAGTCAGATAAGAGCACCAGCGACGGGCGTTTCTTCGGGTTTTGATGAGATGCTGCCAACAACCAACAACAACAACAACAACAAACAGTCCAGACAATAAAGGAGGAGCAAAAAAAAAAAGAAAAAAAAAAGAACAGAGCTGAAAGCAGCAATAATAATAATAATAATTATAATAATAATAATAATAGCACTATCGGAAACATTTAAAGTCCTATTTGAGAGGTTGCGGGAAAGAAGTGTGGGCGCACAGTTCACAGCGCACGTGGGCCAACCGGGGAGGCAGGAAGTCTTAGAAGAAGAGGCGGCGTGTGAGCGAGCGGCTGCCGTCCATCAGAGATTAAGTTAACACAAAGACGCTCCGCCCGCTCCACACCTCCAACTAACAGTGAAGGAACAATCATCAAAACTCAACGGAGAAAAACTAAGAATAGTTTGATATTTCTGTCGGAGGCGTGTAAACGTGCTGGGGGGTGGAAGGGCTGCTGTCGGGGGGGGGGCGGAAATGTTCAAGGCCAGTCAGTTTTGGGTTTCACTTCAGTCACTCGTGCTCTTCTGAGGAGACGCTGCTGCCTCCTCCTCTACTCCTCCTTTATCAAGAGCTGGATGTTCAAACGCTCCCGTTGCCCCCCCTTCTGCTCCTCCCTCTTCCTCAGCCAAGTCTCTCTCTGCTCCTTCGTCACCCTCCTCCTCCTCTTCTGTAGATTTCACACCCTCCCTCGTGTCCTCTTCCTCATCTCTTGGGGGGTTTGGGGTTGGGGTGCTGTTCCCCATCGCTCCAGCCATGGCGCTCTGCAGCTCAGCGAGGGTGGAGGCTGTTGGGAAGCCTGACAGGCTGAGTCCCGCGAGGCCTGGGGGAAGGAACATGGAGGGGTAGAGGAGTCCGGGGGCCATGGTGGAGAGGAGGAAGGGGTTGAATGCCAGCGAGTTGGCAGACATGCCGGCAGCAGCCAGCAGGGCGGCTGCGTCTCCGTTCATGGAAACTTCTGTTGACGAGTCAACGGCCGGCAACTTAGGAGCAGCATCACTCACCGACTTCTCCACCTTTACTGCGCCGTCCTCCATCTTCCTTTTCTTTGCCTTTGTCACTCCCTCCTCGTTCCCCTCCGCCTCCTCTTCATCCTCCCCCACCTCGTCCCCGTTTTCTCCCTCTTCTTTCTCCTCCTCCTCTCTCTTCCTCTTTGCCAACAGCGCCTCCTCACCGTTGCCTCCCTCTGCCTCCATTGTCCCGTTTCTGTTGCCTGCAGCGACGGAGACGGAGTTGGATGAAGTTGTGGCAGCGGCCGCCAGGCTTCCACCAAAGAGTCCTCCAAGGCTGAACATGTTGGGGAGGGCGGCGGCCATATTGGGCAGGCCTCCTATACTGGGCAGCATGAGGGGCAGCATGGAGGCGGCGGCCGTGTTGGCAGCGGTCTGTTTGGGGTCAGTGTGAGAAGGGAAGGCCATCAGACCAGCAGCTAACTGCAGCGACTGCAGGCTCTGGAGAGAAGACAGGTCCATCCCTCCAAACAGGCTGTTGAGCAGCAGAGGGTTGATGCCTCCTGCAGACACAGAGTTCAAACTTCAATCTTGCCTCCTCAGTAGAAACACAACCCCCCCCGCTGAGATAAAACTCAGACTGATGACATCATAAACTCAGATAAACATGTACCTGCAGTTGAAGCAGCTGTAGCCAGTGACGCCTGCGCAGCCTGAGCAGCTGCTGCAGCCTGGGCAGCAGCAGCTGCCTTCACAATCTCAGATTTAGGCCGCCGCCCCCGACGGCGCATGCCCTCTTCTCTGACTACAGGGCCAGTTAGAAGGCGGTCAAACATGGCTTCTGGGAGGAAACCCTGTCAGGTGGAGAATTTTAGCTCCAACTTCAGCAAGAACCAGCAAGTTGTGGACTTGATAGGTTTTGACTTTACTTACCGACTGTTTGACGATGTCTGTCCAGTCAGGAGAGATAGAAAACTCCGGGTTCTCCAATAACCACCGGGGAAGCTCCTTCATTGGTGGAGCCATAGCTCCGCCCATCTAAACAACAAACAGGAAGATGAGATGAGTTTCTCGTTTGGATTTGACAAGTGAGAAAACACAATGACAAACCATTTGCTCTTCATTAACATCTGTGACTCCAGATGTTTTTTTATTTACCTTGCGTCCATTACGCCTGTTGACCACAGGCACCCTCTCATCCCCAGTCAGGGTGTTGATGTCGATTTTGTTGGGGTTTCGACAGCGATGGCGTTTCTGTTTGGGCTTAGAAAACTGAGACAGGAGCAACTCCTCGCTCTTCTGTGGTGAGAGGAAAAAAAACAAAAACGCAGGCAGACATTATTGTCGGTGGAATTAAAAGCAGGACAATCTCATTAAGATTTAATCTCTTAAGCTTGAGGATGAAGGCAGTGTTTTACTGGTGTGAATCCAGGCATGTCCATGGTGTACGTCGGGTGCTGCCTCAGCCACTCTCCAAGGTCTTTGCTGGAAACTGCTGCCTCTTCCTCCTCCAGGCTACCTGAGGTCAGAGACCGGGTGCTGGGACTCTGCTCGGGGACAGGGAGGGGTCTGTGGGAATGGGCAGCCTCCTGGACCCCCTCCACACCTGTAATCTTTGTCCCATCAGCATCCTCCTGAAAACGTGCCACATGGGGAAAGGTTGAAGTTGCCCTGTCTGTATAACCGAGGAGCATGTGTGCGTGAAAAGACTTGCTGTTTGTCCTACGCACCCCCCCTCCTGCTCTCTTGTTGCCCATGAACAGCAGCTCCAGGCCCTCCACATTTTTCCTGCGGCCCCGCCTTCTTCTGATGATGGGCAGGTCAGCCTCCAACGAACCGTTGGCTCTGTGTGCAGAGGGCGGGACTTGCTGAAGCAGCTCCATTTGGGCTTTGAGGGAGGGGCTTGTCACCAAGGCACTGGGGAAGCCAGTCAAAGTGGAAGATGCCTTGTGGTGATGGTGTACACCCTGAAGTAAAAGGAACATTGTTTCAGTACGTTTGCATCAAGTTCACGAGGAATACTTGAACACTTTTAGAAACACTAGCTTGTCATGAGTCTGCTCTGCACGGTGAGCGTTTCTGAGGCACCTTGGTGAGGTCTATAGCCTGGTTCTGAGATTCTGCAGCAGCGTGGCTTTCTCTCAGCTGAGCCACCATCTCCATCAAGTTGCGTCTCTTGGCTGCTCTTTCTGCCTCGATCTCAATCTTTTTCCGTCTCCTCCTCCTCTGTCGAGGCACCGTCAAACTCAGAGCATCCTCCTGCAACACAGCACGTCAACAATTACTCCTTTTTCTATTCATGGAATAACTGATCCAAGAACAGCGGGCGAAACACACGCGGCATTACTTCTCAGAAGGCTCAACCGACGCCAACCTTTTGTTTTATTTGAATGCTGTTAATTACATGCACAGACACTCACGTGAACCTGTGGCGACAGCGTTTTGTCCTCACTCCCACTGTACGGCGTATGGAGGCCAGCCATGGTCAGCTCGGCCAGGCTCCGCCTCTGCAGCGGACTCTCGCTCACCATGGCTACAGCTGCCGTGGCTGCTGTGGAGCCTTGACCTGGCAGGAGGCTGCTGGGGAAGTCAAAGATGTGGCGTCTGTTGATGGGCCACTTGCCCTTCAGGACCGCCTCGCAAATGTTATCCAACCTATTGATGATCACTCGATCCTGAGTGGAGAGAACAATGGATTATTCTGTCAGTTCTTCTGTAAAGCTCTTTCGTTGATCTTTACAGTTCTCAGAGTTCTGCTGCAGAGAACCAGGGTTCTTCATAGAAACAAACAAGATTTTCTTTGTTCCCTAAAGTATTTCATGCATCATTAAAGTTTAAGGGGAAAAAGCTCGTCTTAGCATTAGCCGTTGCTCTAACGCCACGTGCTTGATGATTTTATCTCGACTCAACACAACTACAGGGCTCAGTCCTTCACAATTCATCAGGTTGATGCTCGACTCAACTGTGAACACTTCCTGTAGAAAACTTTCACAGTAAAAGCCTTCTTGTAGCTCAAACGGTACAACTATTTACTTCCCAGAAAGTATTTAACAGAAGTGTCACTGTTATTTTAGCTTCAGAAAAAACTTTTTGATGGTCTTGTTTTTCTTTTACAACATAAAGTTTTTAAAATATGACGAGTGATCACAGTTTAAAAGAATGACTGAGCACTAAGGCTTACAAATTAAACTGGTAAGTCCAATTTATTTTCTTGAATAATCAACTAAAGGGAACATCTGTATATAAACAGTGTTGCTAACCGGGTGGTTGGTTGTGTTGACTCACCTTAGGCCAGAATGAGAAGCCATAGGTGCGTTCCTGCAGGGCCTGCAGCGCTGAGGTTTCCGTCAAGTCTTCGGGGCAGAACCCATCACGGGTCTCGTCTCGAACGGACGTGCTCAGAGAAGTAATACTCTCCTCATCGAAGTTCTTCTGCTCTGTGCTCACTACACAGAATAAAACAAAGTTCAACAGTTACCCAGGGATCCAGTCTCATTTCAGTCTCTTTTCTTTCTGGAACTAATGCTCATTAAAACAGTGATGAGTCACAAGGGGCGACACCAGAAATAGGTCCATTTCTGAGAGCTGCTGTCAGACATAATGTGTCAACCAGAAAAAACTAAACCGAAGAACTAATGGTTCCATTGTTGCACCTGAGAAATGTTTGCTGTGTGCAGCTTCACCGCCGTTTCTCAGGAAGTTAAAATTTAGACACGGTACCTTCAGCTTGAGAAGACTTTTCTGATTTGTCATCTTCATCCAGTCTCTCCTCCTCTTCCTCTTCTGGGCTCTTCTCAGCAGAGTTGGGAGATTTAAGGGCGTCTGGGGCTTCTTTCTCCTCTCCATCTTCCTCCTCTGCAGCCTTGTGGTCCAGCTGAGCTTCAGAAGACGGCTCTGGTTGTTCTGGAGGCTCAAGGTCAAGGTTCTTCTGAATGCTCAGAGTGTGTTCAGGACTGAAGCTGCTTTTCTCTTCTGTCAAGTCTTTGTTTTGGTGAAGTTCATGAGTGAATTTCTTGTCTTCTTCAGTCTGCTCTTCTGTCTTTGCATCCTCATCGTCTTTTTCAGTCTTTGGTGGAATCTGCTCCGTCTTGATCTCCTTCATTGGTGATTTAATTGTAATATCTTGTCCTTCAACAACTCCTTGATGCTCCATCTCTTCATTAAGGGATTCGGTCTTGGTGCATGGAAGAATAATGCCATCTCCTTCTTCTATTTCCATTTTCACCTCCAACCTGTCGTCTTTGTTGTCCTCAGTCTTTAGCTCCTGCCCTTCTTCCTCTTTATCAACAGCACTTCTGGCAGCAGCTGCAGCAGATGCCAGCTCCGCGGGGCTTAGAAGTGGAACTGAAGATGGTTCTGCAGTTCCCATCACAAACTTGGTGGGCTCTCCCAGGGTTCCCATGCCAACACCGGCCCCTCGCTGGCTGATGTAACGCTGGTGGGCCTCCAGAAACCCTAAGGTCGGGTCATTTAGGATGTGGTAATCTGTACGGCTCACACCGTGCTTGGAGGCACCCAGCAGGAGGTCACGGTCATGGCGCCCACACTCCCACCACTCTGGGAGGTCTGGGGAGGGCTGGCAGAGCTTGAGGTGCTCTGACAGCAGCAGGTGAGGCAGGACCTGCTCTCTGATGCGGCGGAGCAGCTCGATGCGGTACAAGGTGCGAGACGCTCGCTCCTCTGTGATGGGGTCAATGATCAGAGTTGGGTCTGGAAGTTCTGATAAAACAAAGTACAAACTTAGTTCAAACCATTTGAATATGTATCAATAAAAGGACATGCAGCAGTGAAATAACTCCAACCTGTTTCAGTCTTGATCTGCATCCTGCAGACCCGTTTGCACATGGCAATGAAGGAGTAGTAATATTTCTCCAAGCTCTCGTCCGTTTTTTTCTCCAGTCGAGCGAAAGCTCTGAACTGACTCCAGTCGAACTTCTGATGCTTTGTATCGAAAACAACTCCAAAGGTGGACACGACACGGTAAAAGTCTGCTTCCTCGCGACGCGTCCATCTGAAACAAACATTTGAAGGTTCAACAACCAGAAGGCACCACGTGATTTGAAGCATACAGTGCTGCATCACTGCAACACGCCGTTTTCAATCGAAAAGGCCATTAGATAAATATCTACCTTTGTCTTCTCTCTTTGTAATACATAGCTCCATCAGACATCAGGGAGCTGGCGGTCATCACTGGCGAAGAGTCTGGCATGAACTGACCACCTTTGGCAAAGTACGCACTTCCTTTAGCCAAATATGGGCTTCCTTCCGTCATGAACATTCCCGAACCATCTTGGATGTACGTTGCTCCACCTCCGGATTCAGGAACCATGGCGATGGAAGGCAGGAACTCCCTGCGTCGTCTGCGGCGACCATCGGGTCTGTTGAGAGCTTCCTGGCGGAGCAGCTCTCGACGGTTGGAGCGCTGGTAAGCAGTGATCAGACGACGCAGACGAGCCGTAAGGGCTGAGGCTGCAGGCCAGTAAAGTCGCTCGTTTGAGCCAGAAGCTCCGCCCACAGTTGGTGCACTTTGACCGTTTTCACCTGATTTGACTAGAGAAAAATGAAAAAGAAGAAATATGATCACGGCTGACTTACCAACTTTGTTCTGCTGATGCAAGAGCTTCTTCAGCAGGAACGTAAAATAAAACCATTCTAATTTTCTTGACTGTGGCTGATCTCTGACCAGCCCTGCACCTCAACAGTTGTGAGTTGTGACATGTGGAGCTGAACGCCCGACATTTACATTTTCAAGCAGCTCAGGTGTCTTAAAGCCCAATTTGAAAATGTAATGCATCATTGTGGATGGGAATACTGGGTTGTTCTGGATGCCGTTTATTTAATTCTTTGCTGTATCTTTTACGCAGAGGTACACACACCCGGCTGAACCTTTTTCTCACTCTGTGTAAAAACTGACCTTCAGCCTCACCCTCCACCAAGTCATCAAGTGGAGAGTTGGTGAAGTCGTCCATGTCGTCCTTAAAAGACATACGCATTGGTTTGTACTCTGGATCCTCATCCTCACTGGAGTTACAGGAACAAGCAAGAAAAACACTTCAGTTTATTATGTTAGTTTTAAATTTAAATCTGCACACAGACCAGAGAACTTGAGCACCTACGAGAGCTGCGTGTCACAGCAGAGAAGGAACAAAGGCGGGAGCACAAAACAAGACTTTAAACTACACAAAAACAAAAAAATGCACACGGCTGAGCGAGTAAAGAGCTGCCTTTTGGTCAGCGAGACCTGCTGTCTTACCCCTCAACACCATCTGCCATCATGTCAGCGCCCCTCTGCTCAGCAGCGATCGCTTTGGCGTCTGGCATGCCCACTCTCTCCAAGAAACACAGGGCCGGATCGGCGCGCATGGAGTTGTACTTCTCATAGCCTGGAGAGAAGAGAGAGGAACGCAGACACCTTGAAACACGAGGCTGTAAACTGGGTTTCAACCAGTAAATCGAATTTGCTCCAGAGAAACTAAAAGCGAAGCTCAGCTTTACCCTCGGTTTCCACGTTTATCAGGTTTTTGCTTATTACGAGTGCTACGCTAGACTTTTCTCCACCTGAAAGTATTTAACATTCAAACAGCACTTGTAAATGTCCAGTTTGAAAGTATTCCAATGTATTAAGTTTGATCCGTTTGTAACAAGTAAAAGAAAATTGCCTTGTTTACCAAGGTCTGAAGCAAACACAATATACTGGACTAAAAATGCAACATTCATCCGTTTATATAAAAAAAAAAATCTAAAATAACTGGTGGCAAACTGAGTTCTTGAAAGGGTCTCCCATTTGTAAGTGAATACTTTAATCAGTGTCCCTCGTTACTTCAGCCTTCGTTAAAGGAGGAAGAGTCAGGTTTTCTAGCCAGCATCTAGACGGATGGAAAGCTAAACCTGTTCACGTGCAGCATCCATTATATATGAAGGAAGAGACAAAAACAGCAGCAGAAGGGCATACCCCAGGAGCCAGCTGCCGACGAGACCATGTGTGGTTTTGTGTACACTTCTGCATGTGCACATACGAGCGTGCGCTGATCTAAGTGAGCCTGCAGGTGCTTTTTTTGTGTCGGGGAAAGAAGGAGGGGGGAGCAAGTCAGTGTGTGTGTCAGTGTATGAAAGTGAACCACTGAGTGTGAGGAACTGTGCGTGTTTGTCCGTTAGGAGCATTCAGGCAGAACAGATTAGAATGTGCAGATCCTACTGAGACACATCGGGAAGTGGGGGGGGGGAGATGGGATGAGAGGAAAATGCATGTGAGGAGGAGGAGGAAAAAGAAGAAGCACAAAAACAGAGGAAAAGATGAAGGAAATAAGAGGATAGGCGGGGACAAGAGACAGAGGAGGGCCAGAGTAAAACAACCACTCTGCCTCTTTAACCTTTCACTCGTCTCTCATTCCCTCCTTCTCTCCATCAAATTTCCATTAGGAAAGATGTAACGCGTTGCTCCTAACCGTCACTCTGTCTCACTCCCACAGCTCCGCGCCTGCAGCCAAACGTTAATCATCAGGACCTTTATGGGCCATCACTCTTCTGTATGTGTGAGTGTAGCATTGTTGTGTGCGCCTGCGTGTGTGTTAGTCCCCCTGAAAGGCCTCCCTGGTGAATACGGATTATGATTAAGTATGGGTGAGGCCTTTTGTGTTGCACTGTGTGTGCGTGTCCTAATTGAATCATAAAAGGTGGCAATGATGGAAAAATCATGACAATTATGCCAAATTAATATGAATGAGGGTCTCTCTGCAAAGCAAACTCACTTTTAACTCATCATCATCATCATCATCATCGCTCTGTCTCTGGGACGTGGAGTAAGAAAGTTTGTGCCCAGATGTGGGTCACTTAGATTAATGCAGCTGCAATATGGAGCTGCTGGTTAACAGAGAATAAAAACTTTGTTACTGAAACGCTGAACTTTGTTTAGAAATCAACACCTGTAACCGTGCGTGTGCACGGGTACGTGCAGCCAGTGGTGAACACAGCCATCAATCACGCACCCAGCTGCACACTAAGCCGGCCAGCTGCGTACCGCCGTCACCATGGCAACACCAATCAACTGGTGGCAGCGTAAGTGGGTGGTGTGTGCGCGCGCGCTCATCCAGTGCGCCTGCATGACGTGCGCTCCGCTGGAAGCCACTGGAGTGTCTGAGTGTGTGTGAAGGTGCTGACATTATCCGAGTGCGCAGTTGTGTGTAAGGTGTGTGTGCCGTGCACAGTGTGAGGGTGCCGGTGCGTGTTACCGTGTTTGAAGACGCCGATGAGTAGGGACTTGTCAGCCTCGCTGTCCCACCAGTCAGCCGGGACTTCAGCGTGAAACGGCTGAGGAATCCAGATATCCAGCACACTGTGAAGGAGACGAACAACGTCGTGCCGTTATCAAACTCTGCCGTCTGGGCTTCACAACAGGACCGAGCTTCTACTGAAACCTAACAAGCCCGCTCAGTTTAATCAGACGTTAAAAGTGAAAACTAAAACAGCAACTTTACACACAATGTGTTTTGTTCCAGTTATGATCGGTACATTTCTCAAAACAAAGTAATCTTCAGCACAGTTTTTAAACGAACGTCACGCCGACTGTGAAACTGTTTTGACACGGAGATCTATTGCTGTCGCGATATAAAAACACAACTTAGGCGAATTACTGAAGACTGTACAGCCGGACATTAGGCGACAAGACGGCAGCACATTAAAGAAAATGGACTTTTCCCTTGCTTTTACAACAATTCAAATGCTACTTGGAATTTTTAAAGCTCAAAAAATTATTATGGCGGACTTACATTTTGCACTGGCTTCACTGGTGCATATAGATTTTCCAGTAAAGTGCACAGGCTAACCAACTCTTTGACCACCACAATATTACATTTAAAAATGTCACAAATCTGCCATTGCAAAAAAGTAATCCGAACAATGTAAAACAAAACCTGGACCTCAGGCTAAAGATGTTTAATTATTTACTTATTTTCTGTTTCTTTTTACAATTTATATTTTTGCTATTGTTTGATGTAACTGGGACCCTGTGCACACAATTTTGTTCCACCTCATGTACCACATGTGGTGCAAATGATAGTAAAGAACCTCTGCTTAACTTCCCATCTGGGAGCTTAGTGCAGTCGTCCATCACTACTTCACTGTTTGACTTTTGCTAATTTGCTCTTAATTTGCTCTTTCGTGGTTTTTCCAACAACTGTCAACTTTAATATTACTCATGTGATTGGAAATGGTACGGGATAAAAAGTTAACGAAAAAAATACTTCGGACAGGCACCTCCATTTTGTAGTTTACTTTCAATAAGCCTACACTGTAACACCAGTCAAAAGAACTACACTACCCAGTTGTTCATGCTCACTTTTAACCATCATCATCGCTGCTTCCAGCTGCTTTCTGTCGAAATGGAGGGAAAGTTTTGATCTGATCCAAACTTGACTAAAAAGTTCGGTCCTTATTCATCGTGACTTTGGCGCTCAGTGGAAGCAGAGAGCTGTACGGAATCGGACCAGAAACGGACCAAGGCTACTTCCAGCCTCAGCGGTTGCTCTGAATTCTGCTCGCTGGCGCAGGAAGCCTCTCAAAAGCGTCTTGGTGCTCGACGGCTGCAGAGAGCCGACCAGAACCGGACCGAGGCTGGCGAGTGCCCATTTAAAATGTTGCAGTAGAGACTGTGCAGTACACATATGTATGCTGTTAAAATTACGTAGGTTAAAGAGTTTAGAACATTGCAAGAGTGTGGGGAAAGGTTTATAAAGCCTTAATATATATACACACATACTAAAATAAATATATAGCGTTCCTACTTTGTGGTTTTTCACCTATCGCACGTGCAGAGTGTGTGTGTGGAAAGTAACCCCTGCGATAATCAAGAGACTACTGTATCCCAACATTTTATTTTTTAATCATTTTAATATTTAAAATCTGACAATAAAAGCAGTTCAGGTCCTCCGTGCAGCACAATGAGCATCCTGCTCTGTGGCTCATGCTAAATTTTCTCCGTATGCTTGGTCAGGACCTGGTATATTACCTGGGGCAGAAGAGCTCTTATTGATTTATCTAGTATTGTTTAGCTTTTGAGTTATATTACTGCAGGAAGTGATTTCAAACACGTAAGTGGCCTCAGTCTAGAGGGTCAGAACTAATCCGAGGTGAAGATCTGCTGCTTCTTTGCAGGACTGGCTCTGGTCTTCAGAAGCAATGAAAGGGCAAGAGAGGAAAAGCTGAGAGTAAATATGTGAAAAGTTTGGCACGCCGGTGCAACCAAAACCAGAAATTAGCTACACTCCATAGATTTTTAGGTGCACGTGCGACCAAACTGGTTACACTCTGGAGCCCTGTACGGTCTCAGTTTTACAGCTGAACTGCCTAAAAGTGTGGACGCTGTTCATCTTCTAAACTTTTATTTATTTATTTTCCCCCCATGAATGCAACCCAAAGGAACTCAATGAGTTGAAGTGAATATGTAAAAAAAAAAAAAAAACTAAAATGAACTGAGCTATCAAGCAAATCAACACAGTGATGAGCGCTGTCACACAATCTGCCTCCAGGTGTTACACCGACTCACTAATAAACCATGAGTCCAGTCCACACCACACAGCTGTACGCGTGCAATTAATCTGAAAATAGTTGCGTGCAATCCCTCAACTGCTGTGTGGAGGAACAGAAACCAAAAGCAACATTCATTTTGGAAAGTGAATGGCATTTTTCAGCTGGTTATGGGGAGAAAAGGGTACGATACACAATAGGGGCAGAAAGACGGAGGGTGACAGGAGGAGAGAGGAAACCAGGGAAACAATCCCTTATCTCCACAAACAGCAGCATGCCTGGCCTTGGCAACACACACGCACACACGTGTGCACGCCAAGACTGGCATACTAAATCCCCCTGGCATATGTTGGCACGATGGGACCCCGTATGCTCTTGTCTGGCATACGTTGACAAACACAAAAACACACACACCCACACGGGTCTGTCACAGTAGCCATGGAGTTGGGGGAAGGATAAAGGGAAGGAGGTGGGAGAGAACAACTTTTGAGTGCACATGCTTCACATTATAAATGCTTTCACATCTGGGTGGCGGGGTGAAAGGGGGATGGGAGATGAGAGACTAAAGAGCACTGCAGAGGAAGAAAGGAGAGGGCAGATGGCAGGAACAGTGTAGTGAGAGGAAAACGAATGAAGCAGAGGAGTTGTCAGAAAAATGAAGAAAGCAGATAAGGTAAGCAGCTCATCAAACCTTCAGACTTAAGAAATAGTTCGTTAAATTTCCATATGGGTCAAAGTGTGATTAAAAAAAGTTATTTCTTCGTAGAAAGAGTGTGTTGAGTCTGTCAGAAGAAGAAGCCGTCTGCCAAAGAGGCCACTAGAACAGACTGAAATAAACTTTAGTAATAATTCATCAGATGTTCACATAAACATCTGTCTCACAACTGCATATCATCATGCACCCAAAAAAAATGAAGACTTCCCTTTTCTTTTTTGATTTTAGGAAAATTCCTCTGGTGAGGACAAAGGTTGTCTTCCTCAACTAACATTATGTCATATTCAAAAAGCGTTCAATACAAAAACAACTGGACTTTATTTGTAACAGAAGACGTTTCGCTCCTCATCCTCGCTTGAATTGAGAAAGCTCCTCGGATGAGGAG